AGGCAGGCGTGCTGACGGTAGGCCTTATGCCCTTTCTACCCTCTCACCCAGGTGCCTGTTACTGGTACTTTCACTCTATGGCTTTGCACCGTTAGGCTACTGCCGCCTCAGCGATCCAGCTCCCCTGAAGCAAAAGTCTCACCGGGAAAAGAGATCCCGGGGTGCGCCTGACATTTGATAAGGAGGAGCCGTGTCTGGTCGTCAGTTAGTCCAGGCAAAGCTTATCTAAAGCGGTCCTATCTGGGTTGCCAAAAACTGTTGAGCCCCAGCTCAAGTCTGGGATTGTGTCCGGTATGCAAAGGCCAATAAAGATACCAGGGGTGAAAGTATAAAGAAGATTTATTGCTAGCAATAAAAGGTGCAAGCGGAATAATTTCACGTAACAAGCACCCAGATTCTTAATTTTAAGCATCTTTTATACAGGAGTATTGAACCTTCATAAGCATTCTTGTTTGCTAATTGGTTATAAGGGGGTGACGCAAGGAGTTCTTTACTGAGCATGTCTCTATACCTGTGTTTTAGCTATGTATCTCATTTCCATACATGTATGTTTCATTAGCATACTTTCTCCCCACCTAGGGGCGTGATTTTTAGTATTTAAATTAGCTCTTTGCCCTAGTCCTCTGATTCTGCTTTTGTTTTCAAGCCTCCTTTATCTAAGACTGTCTCCTCCTTATCATTGCAGATGGGCATTAGTTACATAACAGAGACTTTTGCTTGGGCTTTGTATAGTGGTTTCTAGGTCAAACCTGACAGGATGACAAGATCAAACGGTCACAAACTCCTCCGCGACTGATTCAGGCTGGACATAAGGAAGAACTTCTTTACTTGTTTGTGTGATCCATACCCACATCTTTATTCTCTGGTGGGGAGAACGCAAGAGTCTGACAGGGGAAGAGAGATGCAGTATAGGCAACTCTCATGATTTTTGTTGTTGTTCTTAAAAAGTCTATGCTTTGGGAATGTGAAAAACTTAGCTCTTTCTTATATATATCTATATCTAGATAGATATCTATAGATAGATAGAGATAGAAAAACTTAGCTCTTTCTATGTGAAAAATTTAGCTCTTTCTTTTATATCTATATAGACATATAGATATCTATATAGATATATAGCTATAGATAGATATCTATATAGACATATAGATCTATATAGACATGGCAGCCTCCTTTTGTTTTGTAGATATCTATATAGATATCTACAAAACAAAAGAAGGCTGCCATGTCTATGTCTATATAGATATCTATAAATCTATATAGATATCTATATGTCTGGATATATAGATATGTATAGATATCTATATAGATATATATAAAAAAAGAGCTAAGATTTTCACATACACAAGAAAGAGCTGTTTTTCTCTATCTATATATCTATATCTATATAGATATATATCGATATCTCTATCTATCTATCTATCTATCTATCTATCTATATCAATATATAGATACATCTATATAGATTGAGATATCTATCTATCTATCTATCTAGCATATATAAAAGAAAGAGCTATGTTTTTCATATTCCCAAAGCGTAGACTTTAAGAACAACACCAAAAATCATGAGAGTTGACAACACTGAAGATGGTACATTAGGAAGGCCAGTTCCTTCCTAGGCTGGCTACATCTTGAGAAGGGAAAGTAATCTTTCCTCGGGAAAACCTGAAGCGTCTGGGAGCAGATGAGACTGGGCGCAGATCAGAGCAGACACCTGAGAGGGAGTACAAACAGGCAGCGGCGTAGGCGTTTGGCAGGGGTGAGAGGGACGTGGGGCAGCGCCTGGCGGGCGGGGGCAGGGGCAGGGGCCAGGCGGCCCGCGGCTCTGGGACGGGGGGTTCCGTGGCAGTTGGAGATGGAGAAAACAAGACGCTGTCAGTTGGGAGCCACCCGCCAGAGCGCGGCAGGCAGAAGCCACAAGAAAATACACTAAGTGCCCGTGACCTGTGTGTGCCTGAGTCACCTCCGGGGCACACTGCTCATGTTGGAACCCAGGCAGCTGAGTAAGCACTCGCTGCTGCTGCTTCTCCCCGCAATATGGGCCTGCAAACCTACAGATAGGACCCAGGAGGAGTGTGGAGAAGGGAGCGATTGCCATCTCTCTGAGACAGACACTGCAGCTGTTTCCGTTTGAGTCACAGGGCTCCCGCGTGGTCACAGGAGATGTGGTGCGGAGTAAAATCACAGGGAGATGCTCCCCAGGGAGCACGTGCCTCCAGTGTGTGTACATGTCTGCATCCCCTGGGGATCCTGCGCAGCACAACTGCACCTGTGACTGGACCCTGTGCAGGGGATACACATTGGGCAAGATTGCCATTTGTGTTTTTAACAAGAGGATTGCCTTGAATGCTAGCTAAGCTTTAGTCAGTATGGTCACTGCTGTCCTAAAGGACTAAGTGATATGGGAGCCCCAGTGCCAACCCAGCATTAATCAGGGCCTGATGCACTTAAGCAACACAGTGCCAGCTGCCCCAGCGGTAGCAGAAGGGAGACAAAGGTCTCTTATTGCTCTTTTTTATGCTGTAACTCTCACAGGCTGTCCCCCTTCCCAGCCCTATGTGCTCTCTCTAGATGTCTTGCCTCTTGCTGTGCAGTGAAAGAAGAATTACATTACTGACTTTGACGGCTTGGATTCTCAAAGGAAGGGTAGACAGAACTGGTTCAAAAAGGTTTGGAGGATTTTAGGAATGGAAAAAATGACAATGAAAAATAACATGTTTCTATTGAAAAGTTTGACTTCTTGGTGCAGTATCTACAAGTGACATATTTTCCTGAGGCTCTGCCACTTCATGAGAGTTGCGTTTGGGTTCCTTGTGCTTCTGTTCTCTCCTATCAGGCAGGCTCCTGGGGGGTTACCCGTAACAAGGAGTGCCACAGCCTCCCCTCATGGTGAGGGAAAATTGCAGTTGTCTTACTGGAGAGCCCAGCCCATAGAAAGAAATGGGCTTCCAAATTCAATTCCTATGAGATACTGCGGGTGGGATATCTGAACAGAAGTATTTTGGTTTTTGGCTAAAAGGCTTGGGGTTTGGGCTGCTTGCTTTCAGCAGAAAATCTGGATTTTTCATGTTAAACCACTTCTCAAAAAGACACATTGCATGAAAAGGTCTCATTGAAAACCTCATTCCCACTGAAAACTAGGGTTGATTAGAAATTTTCTATCAAAATTAGAACATTTGGCAGCTGACCAACCCACATTGCATTTTCTGCACTGCCAACTAATAAGCATTGCAAAATCATAGAAAGCCCCTCAGATGATGAGATCTCTGGAAAAATGGTGAGATCACAGGAAAAATATGTGTTAAAAAGTGTTAGTTTGCTTGCCTTCTAGCTTTTGAACCTAAAGTATATACGTCTGTCACAATTTCAAGTTTTTCTTCACAACCATGATAACTAGAAAGTTACTTTTAAAAAAGGAAGCAACAGAGATTTCTTGAGTCTGTAAGCCAGGGCTTAAAGAACAATAGAAGACTGATGGACATTTATACATGTGCTTTGGGGGGGTGAGGGGTGGCTCTCAAATCCGCTCTAGTTAAAACACCCGGAGGGTCTTGTGCATCAGCATCCCCACACTTAAAAATGGTGAGGGGGGCACTTTAACTAAAGCTCGTCAAACCAGCATTAGTTAAAGTGGCCCATCTGCCATTATTAAGCATGGGCACGCTGACACACAAGAAGCTGGAGTCTGCTGGAGCACAGTAATTACCACACTCCAGCCAACTTGATTAATTGAGTCTGCTCCAATGCGCTGTAATTACAGCATGTTGGAGCACCTCGCTGCTCATGTATAGGTACCTGATGATAAAATTCTTTGCCCCTTTTGAAAATCCTACCCTACAGACCTATGGATTTAGAGTGTTTTCTTTAGTTTAATAAGCACAGCCCTTTTAATCTTTGTGCTTTCTGTGTATATATACAGCTTGTTGCCCAAGGATCAGGGCTATTAGACTATAGCAGCAGGTTTCAACCTGTGGTCTGTAGACCCCCTGAGGGGTCCACAGAATATAAGGGGTCTGCAAAAGATGACTATGAGCAATCAAAAGTATGTGAATACCCACACTTCCAATTCAAAGGGGTCTGCACCTCCATCTGAAATTTTTTAGGGGTTCAAAAATGAAGAAAGGTTGAAAACCATTGGACTAGAGAAAGAGATGGACAGTAACAACTGACATGGGAAGTTTCAGTAGTGCTTTCCTGAATTCTCCCTTGACAATGCTGCCTGTTAAGTGCAAGATATTCTCTATAACTACAGCAGTTTTTGGCATTTCCCTCCTGTACCTTTTTTTGAATCCCATGGTGAACAGACTGTAATGAAGGATTTTCCGCACAGTCTAGCGGAAAGAACAATGCTACAGACCCACAGCTTTTCCTCTTCTATGCTGTCCCCTGAGAGGTAACTTTTGGATCTCAGCCTCTCTGATCTTAGAGGCAGAGGGAACAATCCACATTAGTATGCAATGGTCAAAAAAAAATCAACCCTAGTGAGTTTCAACCTCCTTGCAAGTTTGAATTTGACCCATTGTTTGCCATAGAATTATGCTCATATATATGAGGGCAGAATTCAGTCCTTATCTTGTGTTAATTTAATGGATTTTTTTTGTGTACAGGGAGAAAAAAATAAGAATTCCTTATAATTCTATTTTCTGGTGAGAAAAAGAGATACAGAGATACATATTGTATCATGTGTGTATCTGGGATCCTCTGGAAAGCCAGTCTGAGGGGGAAAGGAGTCCAGGAGAGCCAGTTGTATTTTAAAGAAACCTTACTGAGGGCAAAGGAGGAAACCATCCCGACATGCAGGAAGAATAGCAAATGTGGCAAGCAACCAGCTTGGCTTAGCAGACAACAAGTGAGCTTAAACCCAGCAAGGAAGCTTACAAGAAGTAGAAGCTTGGAGAAACAACTGGGGAGGAATATAAAAATATTTCTTGGACATGCAGGGATGAAGTTAGGAAGTCAAACCACAACTGAAGTTGCAACTAGCAAGGGATGTGAGGTAACAAGAAGGGTTTCTATAAGTATGTCAGTAACATCAGGAAGGTCAGGGCAAGTGAGAGTCCCTTACTGAATACAGGAGGCATCCCAGTGACAGATGATGAGGAAAAGGCTGAAGTGCTCAATGCCTTTTTTACTTTGGTCTTCACAGGCAAGGTCAGCTCCCAGATTATTGCACGGGCAGCACAATTTGGGGAGATAGTGAGCAGTCCTCAGCGGTGAAAGAACAGGTTAGGAACTATTTGGAGTTGGACATGTACAAGTCAATGGGGCCGGATGCAATGTATCCAAGGGTACTGAGGGAGTTGGCTGATGTGATTCCAGAGCTGCTGGCTATTATCTTTGAAAATTCATGGTGATTGGGGATGTCCCAGATGATTGGAAAAGGGCAAATATAATGCTCAGCTTTAAGAAAGGGAAGAAGGAGGATCCAGGGAAGTACAGATTAGTCAGCCTCACCTCAGTCCCCAGAAAAATCATGGAGCATGTCCTCAAGAAATACATTTGTAAGCACTTGGAGGAGAAGAAGTGATTACGAACAGTCAGCATGGATTCACCAAGGGCAAGTCATGCCTGACCAACCTGATTGCTTTCTATGATGAGATGACTGGCTATGTATGGGGGGAAAGCAGTGGACATAATATACGTTGAATTTACCAAGGTTTATGATATGATCTCCCACAGCGGTCTTGCAAGCAAGCTGAGGAAGTGTGGGTTGGATGAATTGACTATAAGGTGGATAGAAAGCTGGTTGGACTGTCAGGGTCAATGGATAGTAATCAATGGCTCAATGTTTAGCTGGCAGCCAGTATCGAGTGGAGTACCCCAGGGGTTGGTCCTGGGTCTGGTTTTGTTCAATATCTTCATTAATGATCTGGAAGATGGGATGGGTTGCACCCTCAGCAAGTTCGCAGATGATGTCAAGCTGGGGGTGTAGTAGATACACTGGAGGGTGGGCTAGGATTCAGAATGGCCAAGACAAATTGGAGGAGTGAGCCAAAAGAAACCCTATCTAGTTCAACAAGGACAAGTGCAAAGTCTGGCACTTAGGACGGAAGAATCCCATGCACTGCTACAGGTTGGAGGCTGACTGGCTGGGCAGTAACTCTGCAGAAAATGACCTGAAGATTACAGTGGACAGTAAGCTGGATGTGAGTCAGCAGTATGACCTTGTTGCCAAGAAGGCTAACAGCATACTGGGCTGAATTAGTAGGAGCGTTGCCAACAGATCGAGGGAAGTAATTATTCTGCTCTGTTCTGCACTGATGAAGCCACATCTGGAGTACTGTGTCCAGTCTTGGCCTCCACACTATAGAAAGGATATGGATAAGCTGGAGAGAGTGGAGCACAACAAAAATGATTCGGGGGCTGGGACAAATGACTTATGAGGAGAGGCTGAGGAAACTGGGTTTATTTAGTCAGCGGAAGTGAAGACTGAGAAGGGATTTGATAGCAGCCTATCTGAAGCATGGTTCCAAAGAGGATGGAGCTAGACGGTTCTCAGTGGTGAAAAATGACAGAACAAGGACCAATAGTCTCAAGTTGCAGCAAGAGAGGTTTATGTTGGATGTTCGGAAAAACATTTTCACTAGGAGGGCGGTGAAGCACTGGAACAGGTAACCCAGAGAGGTGGTGGAATCTCCACCCTTGGAGGCTTTTAAGGCCCGGCTTGACAAAGCCTTGGCTGGAATGATCTAGTTGGAGATGGTCCTGCTTTGAGCAGGGGGTTGGACTAGATGACTTCCTGAGGTCCCTTCCAACCCTAATTTTCTACAATTCTGTTATATGTTCTGCATCTTGCTATCTTATGTAATTGACTTGCATGTGATTTGTATTTAAAGGGGACACAAGAGGAAAAACTACAATGAAAACCAAGAAGCTACAGAAGGCACTTGCTTGGTATTGGAGAACCTTTCCTAGAATATTTTTGTTCCTTGTGATTATCATCGCTTTGTTTTCCATTATTTGGAATAAACACCAAGAAGAATGTAACTGCTTTAAAATGGTAAACTCTGGTTTAATTACATTTGCTAGGTAACTATTCAGGGATGACACATGCATTTATTTCAAATAGAACTATTAGTTATGAGAACACATACAAAAAACTAAATTCTCCAATTACAAATGTTTTACAAGAAAACCCATTAAGTTTTTCAATGATAAAAAATCAGCAGTTAAAACAATATGCAGCTCTTTAATGGCAGCAGTGACCTGCAGTAGTCATGCTTTAAATTTTAAAAATCTTTTTCCTCTAGAGGAAGAGAGCCAAGATAATGCTTATTATACCTATTCTTATCAGTGAACTTTGTTGCACAGCTAATGGAGCTCACACTTGCCTTTGTAATCATTATTGCTTAAACAATATGAAAAGTTGGACTGATAGTTCTTTTAGCTGCATATTTTTTTATAAAACTGTGCTTTGCATATTTTTTGGATTTTCAGCTTCTTGAGTCCTGATGCAGTGGAGTGCCTTGAGAATTGTTCTGAGCATGTGTGAATGGTAGGATGGGGAGTAGAAGGAAAATTAGGTTACTTACCAATAATGAGGATTAATTAGTTAATGTTTGTAAAGCTCTTTGAAGATGAAAAGTATTATGAGGGCTAAATACTATTAAGTAATTGAAGTTCTTTGACTGACTTTTAGTTGATAGGATGATAGTGGGGGGAGAGACTTGTGTTGCTTGGTTTAACTCTTGTCTTGCTTGACTGTGTGTGCAGTGTTTTTTGCCAGAACACACCCACAAAGGTGCCTGGCCTAGCTAGTGAATCAGAATTGCTGCTAAGGCCATGGAAACATGAAGGGGCTTGTATTCAGGTCTACTCAGACATGAACCTTTCTAGGTCAAATGAATATCAAAATATATCTCATAGATCATGGATCAAATTTAGACCCCTCCTCCAGTCTCCCCACTAAAACTAATTACAGAATTTCTACTGACTTTAACAGGGCTATTTTACCACAAATGTATGGTATCATATATTTGTGAATGTATGAATAATTGCCTGAATAATGCCATTCAATTACTTCCATGACACTCTTCAGTGAGGGAATTCTGTGTGTACCACCAAGGCAAAAAAAGCAAACAGAGTGGTCAGTCTTCAAACTTGGGGGGTGGGGGAGGAGATAAGGGAGGGAGTGAATTGTCAATGCGGACTTCTAACGCTAGTATGCTAAGAGAAATACTGGTAATAGCAAATGCTAAAACTTACAAAACATCTAAAGAGGCCACACTGCTTGCAGCTCCTGAGCTTGTTGGTTCAGAAAGGGCTTAAATATTTCAGCATGGCTTTGCATTTTGTCTTGTTGACATAATTTCTCTCTGCAGATGCAATCTGCAAAGTAGTTTCTGAGAGTTAATTAATATTTTTGAGTGACCTGAGGTTCTTATTTTCCTAGCTGAGAATACATTGAAGATATCTGAAAAGTTGCATTTAAACTTTATTTAAGAAAAATAACCTGATTAGCATAGACCATACAATGATTTTTTAGTGCATATTATTCTCAGTCAATGAATTTTTGTGAGGAAAAGGTTCCTAATAGCTGGCTCTGAGCTCCATTGAAACACATTATAAATTGTCCTCCTGTGTCATTGCTTTTTGCTGTGGTGAGTATATAAAAAACTAACAATGTCTTTCCTATAATGAAGAATTAGCAAGTTTAGAATGATGTCATAGGCAAATAATGTGTCCACAATGTAAAGGAACAATAATGTCTACATTGTATGCTGTATTTAGTCAATCTCAGATATTAGATAATATCTAATATGTTCTTCATTTTTAAGGAAAAAGCAGGAAAGGAAGGAGCCACTCATTTGCAGGCTATTTGTGAGACACTACAGAATCAGAATTTTACTGTAAAAAGAAGTGTGATGGATCCATTGCCTATTCCATATGAATATCTCTTAGGCTTTCCTCCTACCAGGAAAAGTGAGCATGAGATGACCTCTGGTCATTCATCTCATTTCTTTATTGCCATACTAGAGTATAAATATAGATGACTAACATGGGCAAATGATAACTGTGATTGTGTAGTTTTGCTAAGAGATTGAACAATGAATTTGTATAGGATAGTTTGGACAGGGTTGATCCTACCTCAGGCAGGGGGTTGGACTAGATGACATATGGAGGTCTCTTATAGCTCTGCTTCTCTAGTCTGAGATTTGATTAAGAGACTGAGTAATCTGTGCTCTCCTGAAACATCCTGAACTACAGGCAAGGGAGAATGTAACATCTTTGAGTTTCATTCTATTTGTAGTTTCACTCTGCAGAAACTCAGCTCACTGAAGCTATCCAGCAGGATAGCAAAATTACAGCTGTTGGCTTCAATTCAAAATACTGGACTTGTGCTTAATTTTAGATTTGTGACTAATCTAATTGTAGGCTGAAAGATAGATACCTTGCTGAAGAGTTTGACTTACCATTGGCAAAATATAAGGGGCACAACCCAAGGGGCCACTTCCTATTTAACCCTTCACTCATCTAAGCACTGCATAATTACAATTCCTCACACTTATACACAGTTTGGAATTATATTTTCCCATAGGAGGAAATAGAACTACTCTGTGCATATACCCATCAGAGAAGGAGACCCCCCGCCCTCCCATCTACTTTTTAGCTGAACAGCCTAGTGGCTAGGGAACTAAGGCTCTAGGACCCCCTGACGCCAAGGGGTGTTGAGCTGCCAGCTCACTCTTGGCCCCACACGTCTATCTCACTTGTCTGCCCCGTGAGCCAGCTTCAAAAGAGCTGATCACTGGATCAGACTGTATGTCTCATTCATGAACAACAGAGCATTCAGTTTGTGATACTGTGTGTTCTATAAATAGGGTGACCATACGGGACCATGGGAAATCCAGGACTCTGCCCTGCCCCTGCCCAAGTCAGTGGTGCTGCTATAGGCCCAGGTAGAGGCGGAGTAGCATGGTACACCAGGCAGGAAGGCAGCAATGGTGCCTGCCCGCCTGCTTGCCTGGTGCACCATGCCACTTCACCTCCCTGCTAGACTGCGCCCTGTGCCCCTATGATTCCCCCTGCCTTCCAGCCTGGTGCACGTATCCTCTCATCTGGCATGGGGCTGCCCTGCATCTCCTTGGCTTCTGGCTGCAGTGCCTTGAAGGAGGCATGGACTGGTGTGCAGGGGTGCCAGGCCCTGTGCAGACCTGGGCACACAGCACCTCTACAGCCAGCATGGCCAGGCACATGGCTTCACCACCCCTCCATGCCCATCCTGCGCAGGCAGCACATGCAAGGATGTGGTGTGGCACTGGCTGTAGTTGGGTGGCCTCTTGCTCCTGCTGCTACTGCTGATTGGCTTGGCCAGGCTGGGGCTGCAGACCCAGGGCAGTGCCCGGACCTTCCCCCCAAATACAGGTCCCTTCTAGCAGTAGGGTAGGCTCGATGGACTGACAGTGCCCTCATGGCAAGGGTCCAAGCTGCCTTGCTCTAATTTCATTCTGGGACAACACACACACACACACACACACTCACACACATGTGTGCATGCACACCAGCATTTGCACACCAGCACACTCCCCCTACCTCACCCCAACCCAGGCGATCCCTACCCATCCAGGACTTTGGCTTCCATTTTTACCAACTGGCAGGGATGCCAGGACAGCCTGTGAAATCTGGGACTGTCCTGGCCAAACCAGGATGTATGGTCACCCTATCTATAATACTACTTAATCATAATGTTTGAGAGTGTGATGGACATTATGTGCATATAGTGGAATGAAAAGTACCTTATTTACTTGATTCTAAGATGAGGTTTTTCCCCATTCAACACAGGAAAAACAAAGCCTCACTTTAGAATCAAGTGTTACAGCTGGGAGGTAGGAGAAGCAGCTGTTCAGGGAGCCCAGCTGGGGCAGAGACAGCATCAGCACTGTGCAGATTCCTGTTTCCAGCATCTGCTCCCTATCCAGTTCCCCTTCCTCACTCCCCTTTTCTCCCTCACTGGCAGGAAGCCAGGCAGGGAAGGAGAAATCTACACACTGCTGCTGTGGTCTCATGCCAGCTGTGCTTCCTGTAGAGCATCTCCTCACAACTCCTAGCTGGAGCGATCTGACTCACCTACAGCTAGGGTGACCATACATCCCAGTTCACCCAAGGCAGTCCTGGATTTCAAAGGTTGGTCCTGACCAGATGGCAAAAATTAAAATGAGAGTCTTGGAATTGCAGGGGTGCAGGGTGCAGTTTGGTGAGAAGGTGGAGGAACATGGTGCTCCAGGCAGCTCCATCTCCCAACCGGACTGTGCCCATGTCCCTGCCTGCTGGCTTCTGCCACTGCTTGCAGCAGCACTGCTGACTTGGAGGTAGAGGGGGCACTCAGTGTCCCAGGTGTCCTGGATTTCCTTATGGTCACCCTAGCTCTAGCAGGGATGGGGGAGCTCCAGAGCTGATTCTGCCCTGCACTGCAAAAAGCAGCTATGCAGGGAGCCCAGCTCAGCAGTGTGCAGATAATTCATTTGAGCCAGGTCCCACCCAGCAGGGTGTTGGAGCGGGGAAGCAGGCAGGCAGGGAAGGAGAAATCTGCTCACTGCAGACCCAGAGCTCCCAGTATAGCTGCTCCTGGCAGCACAGGGCAAGAGTGGCTCTGGGGCTTTCCCCGTGCCCAGATCAATGGGGGAAGCAGTGGAACAGGGAGGTAGGTGGGATAGTAAGCGGTAGGGGTGAAGTGGTGAAGAGATAGGCACCAGGGGGACAAGAGGTAGAGGGCAGACTGCCTGCTCCCCCTGCCCCTACTTTACCCCCTGCTTTCCCACCACCTGTCCCCCACTCCTGCTTTCCTCCTGCCTGCCCCAACTCTGATTTCCCTACTTCTTGCTCCCTGTCACAACATTCCTTCCACAGCAGTGAAGGGAACAAATTTAAGACAACCATCCAATAATTAGATTCTGTGCATGGAAAGTTATAACACATTTATAATATTCTATGTCTAGAATCTAATTCTTGTGGGGGGGTTGTCTTAAATTCAGTCATCTTGGATTCTGGTAAGTGTGGCATATTTATATTGAATGTGGAATTTGTAACTGGGTAGATACAGGGGTACATGTTTTCTTGAGCAACTAGAATTTCTAAAAGGAGACATGAGGCCAAAACAGATGAAACAGATAGGGGCTATAATTTCCTTAGACCCCATCATTACATCACCAGGGGAAGAAGAGCTTGTAAGAGGGGGAAAAAGGAGCATGTAAATTATTATTTCTGTTTCCACCTTTTGTAGAATACTTGTCCATTGGAATCTCCTCCATACAAGAGAAGAATAGAAAATACCTACTGAAGACAATTGAGTCCATTTTTAAACGTTCCAGCCCAATGGATTTAAAGGAGATGGTCCTAGTTGTCTACTTGGCGAATAATCATTTTCATCTAAATAAGAAACCAGCCACAGATATTAAAGATGAATTTAGCTCGTATATTGAGTCTGGAAACCTTCTTGTTATATACAGTTCATTAGCCAGTTACCCATCTTTAGAAGGCCTGAAAAGAAGCTTCTTTGATAAAGAGAAAAAAATTCAGGCCAAGTCAAAACAGAATGTAGACTATGCTTATTTAGTTAACTTCTGTGCCAGTCTTTCTCACTATTATTTGATGTTGGAAGATGATGTGATTTGTGCCAATGGTTTCTTTTCAGTTATACGACAATACATAGAAGATAAAAATGAGCCTTGGACTACAGTAGCCTTTTCCAAACTGGGCTATATAGGAAAACTCTATCACAATGAAGATCTTCCCAAACTGGCACGATTCCTGTTGATGTTTTATTCGGAGATGCCTTCTGACTGGCTCTTGGAACTTTTCTACCAGTCCAAAGCTCAGAAAAAAATGATTACCTTCACGCCTTCTCTTTTTCAGCATATTGGTAGAATTTCTTCTTTTCACAATGTAGAAAATATATTTAAAGATTCAGAGTTCCATGAAGATTTTGGGGATTTTGGAGACTTCATTGATGCTTCCTGTTACACAGACATAGCAGTATTTCAAGATTACCTGGCTCAAGAAGTATGCCCACCTGGAAGAGGTTTCTTCTGGGGGAAGAATGTAACAACAGGGAAAACTTTCACAATGATTTTTCAAACACCTATCATTCCTCTGAGGGTTCAGATTTATACAGGATCAACTAAATATCCTCAAGACATTCTTCATTCTGGTTATGTAGAAATGGGCAAACTGAAAACAGAAGAAAATGGTACTGTAACATGCAAGTATTTCAGAAAAGTAGGAGATTTTCACATTGGACAGTTTGAAATGGACAACTATGAGGCTTTGACGGAGCAGATTGACTGCCTTCGAATACAGGTAACAGCTACACAAAAGGAATGGCTAAGAATAAGAAAAATAAATATTTGGGTTAAGAAGGATTAATTATGGGTTAAGATTTGGATTCTGTACACAAATTTGAATTTGCCACTTATGCTCAAATATGTTGTAAAGGAATCCATATTTTATTTTACTGTATAAAAATCCCAGAGTTATATGACAAAAGCAACTGTTTCACCAATACACAAAGAAAGCCAGATCTGAGAGGCATTTCTGGCTAAAACACAGTTATGCAATTTATTAAACTTTTTTCTCCATAATGTAATTGTGTCTATGAAAGCTGATTGGTAGTAGAAGTCACTTATGCACCCACCCTTAAGCATGCCTGATCCTCAGATGTACTCAGCTGTTCATCTGTACCCATGCCCATCTATTATACAAAAAAAAAAACACTACTCAGCTACTTCCTATCCTTATAGGTGCTTAAGTTTTCACCCAGAATTTGCAAAGCAACTTAAGTACTGGTGCTGCCCCATAATTATAGGCTGACAGCTGGGATGCAGGTCACTGACAGAAGAAGCAGCACACTCCCATGTATAGTGCTGTCCATCCCCTGCGGGTTAGGGAGCACTTTCTCTACCCATTTGTTCCTGCACCAACACTTCTCTGTTATTTAATAGGTTTTTTTCCTCCCTTGTGTTTACCTTCCAATTCATATTAAAAGGTGCAGACAGAAGCAGTGGTAGATTTACGGATAGTGGGGCCCTGTGATCCAAGCAGGAAGTGGGGCCCTGTCTCCCACCCCATGGCATGTCCGTGGGGGAATTAGCGCAGCACACCAGCTGTGGGGAGGGGCGGTGCCTGGAATTTCTGGCTAGAACTCCTGAAGAAGCCCACAACCTGTTGGGCGGGAGGGACGGCCACAAACCAAACGTGGGCGACTCTCTGGCCAGGGGCTTCCCCCCGCCTCCAGGTGGTGGTGGCGGTGGCAGTGGTGGCGGCGGGGCTCCCTCTCATTGGGGGCCCCATGCCACCACGTGGTTTGTTTCACATTGCATGAGTGTTCAGATAAAGATGCTCCACACTGGAGCACCTTCAGTAACTTGTGTCTGTATGCACCAGGAACAGGGCTGGGCTGACACAGCTCAGCCCTGCTCCTGGCACTGTCTTCAGAATGGAAGGGTGGAAAGGGAGCACAGGGACATAGGCGACTGGTGCCTCCCAAGTCTGGAGAAGCATCAGATCACCGACTGGAGGGGTGGTCCCTAGGGGCTGATCTCCGAGCCCGAAATCACCAGCAGTGAAACCAGAAGTGCACTTCTGCCGGCATATCCAGTTTCATGGATGGTATTTCCAGGGGGTGCACGGCCAATCTCAGGGGGTGCACGTGCACCTGCGTGCACCCACTATGCATTGCCAATACACAGGGAACTTGGATTGGGGTTTTTTTCAACTGGTGTTGGAGAATGGGGTGGGTGGACTGGAGCATCCCCAAGGTAGGAGGACTCCAATTCACCCACCCCACCCTCCAGCACTGGCTGGGGAACACCCCAGAATGAGCTCCTTCCTATGTCTTTCCCCTGCCCCATTCTGAAAACAGCACCAGGGTTGGGAGCAGGGAGGGGACATTGCTAGGGGAAAGTGGCTGCAGGCTCATAGCTGCTCTCATAGGCAACAGAAGGCTTGGGCTAATGGGGCTTAGCCCCTGCAGACACAGGGCAGCGTTGGCAGTGCAGAGGGCTGCAGGGCAGTCTGGGTTTGGGCTCTGGGCAGTGGCAGCAGGGGACACATACAAACACAGACATGTAGCTGCAGCCTGCATACAGCCAGGATTGCAGCCTGACTGCTTGTGGAGCACTGCCCACCATAGCAGGCAAGTTTGTGAAGGGGAAGGGGTCTGGGAGGGGAGCAGATTGAGGCCTCACAGTGAGGGAGGGACTGGGGCAGAGACAGGTGCAAGGGTGAATGGGGCCCTGGGGTGGGTTGTGGGATGGTTGGAGCCTGGGCCACTTGTCAAGTGGTGCAGGGTGCTCCTGTCGCTGCGCGTACCCTGGGGAAGGAATGGGGGAACGTGCCCCTGGATTTGTGCACGAGGTGCCTGCTGCACACTGAGCTCTGTGCCCTACTGCCTCTGCCTCAGGAGCTGCGTGATGCTATGTGTTTGCTGCCACTGGGCAGGCAGGGGACATGGCGCAGCCCAGCGTGGCAGGCACATGGCATCATGCAGGTTCTGAGGCAGCAGCAGTGGGGTGCAGAGCCCAGTGCACAGCAGGCAACCTGCCTCCACCCCATGCACAGATCTGGGGGCCACATGCCCCTCATGCCTTCCCCAGGGTGTGTGCAGTGGCAGGATCTCCCCCCTCCCCCAGTACCGATGGACAAGCCACTCGGGCTTTGACTGTCCCATAACCAAACCCACAGCCTCATTCCTGTTCCTTTGTTTTGCCATGCTAACTAAGTTAAGTTCATTTAGTCTACTTTTTTCAATGCATATATCTAGTCTCTAACTTCTCATCATCATTGCCTTTCTTCAATGGTTAAATATGTATGTGTATCTATTTTCACTACTTTATTATTTTTCTCTGTTCAAGAAGCAGTTACAATAGGCTAGATAGCGTCTATGTCTACACCAGAAGTTAATCCCCGGAAAGGAATTTATAGCCCAAACATATTTACTCCTTTCTTTTAAGGGCTGGGGGGAAGCTGCTTAATGTCTGGATGTGTTCAGGGATTTCTCTCCATTAAAATACAACAGCATTTCAATGATGGTTCTTTTCTCCACTCTTCTCTTACACCAGTGATTCTCAACCATGATGCTGTGATACCCTGAGGTGCATTGCCTTGAAATCCTTTCAAGGGTGCTGTGGGGTGGCACATAGTGTTAACAGTGTTAGATGTACAAATGTGATTCACATGATAAACCCAGAGATTTCAAATAGGAATCCATAGTGTTAAAACACATTCCGGTCTTATGGATGCCTGTAGACGAGTGGGGAGGCTGCTTCGATGCACTGTAATTACAGTGCATCAGAGCAGACTCAATGAATTAGCATGCCTCCAGCAGCCTCCGTGTCTCATGTATCAGTGTCCCCGCACTTCAAAATGGCAGCTGTGGCACTTTAGTTAAAGCTCGTCAAACACTTGTAATTAAAGTGATGCTGTAGGCTCTTTAATGGATTCATCTAATTAAAGTACCCCCTCAGTCCTGGAGCATGTGTAAAAACACTCTGTAAGGTCTTTGCAATGGAAGAACTGCTCTATTATTTTTCTGTAGCCAAAAAAACACCTAAGTGGAAACTCAGAGCTGATATTTTCTGCAGTGTGTTGGGACTAAAAATATTGAAAACTGATGAATTATGTACTACAGTGATACAGTAGAGAGCAGCAGAGCTTCATTACCTGTCTCTTACAAACTGACCAGAAGCTAGCTACCATAATTATAAAATCAAGCTCACAATCAAGCTCAAGCTAATTAGATAGCTAATTAAAATACTATTACTTGGAAGAGTAGCTGCATTATTACAGCAGCCAATGCTTTACTCTTTACTCTTTGCTATCAAATTTGATGTAGTACATATTTACTATAAAGATTCAATCTAGCAGAGTAAAGTAGATCTGTAGATGTAAGAGATCCAAAAACGTTAATGTGTGGTTGATATCAGATTCACAACTTGGGGCCTTTATTTGAAAAACTTAACATTTTTTTATATTTGAGATGCTGCTTTTATCCGGGCATTTCAGATGCTTTAAATTGTTACTTTACAGGGGTAGGCTTAATGTGTTAATTAAGGAATAGTATTTCCATTTTAGGAAACTGAGTTACAACAGTTTAAATGACTTTTCTATTCCTAACATTTAACCACAAGGTAGAGCTCACTCTCACACATCCTTTTCACAGCACTGGCTGTAATTGAGCTTAACAGCATATGGCACTTGAATAAATAATTCAAAATTAAATTGAAAACTAAGCCAATCAGGTGGTTTATCCCACAGTCATTATCATGCCACAAGTGCAAGCAGAGGTTGGTTCCCATTCTGTAGGCTGGCAGGATCTGGAATGTGTTGGGAATAGTTTGACAGTCAATGAGAAGAAGGGAATGTTTTAAACCACCCTGTAGGAATTCTGCTAGCCCATTCCGTGAGAGGAAATATGGGATTCAAGATGTGCGGGCCGGGAGCGACCCGAGCCCTTTTCGCGCTGCACGCCCTCTTCGGCTTGGGCGGAAACCGCTCAAGCCTCTTATATGGCTAACAAGCCAATTGTTAGCCGCCACGTGTGAATAATTTAGCACTAGCCAATCACGGGGAACGAATTTGCATACCGGTGGCGGGAACTCTTTTGCACCGTGCATTCCTCTTGCAACTAGAGCCATGCACTCTGCAAAAGAAGCTGCAGAAAAGGCGGGAAACTCGTCCCTGCTCCGGGGTTTCCTCTTGCTACAGGAAACTCTCCCATGCAATGCTCTGCAACTTGGCGGGGATAATTCTGGTGCCGAAGCACACACACAATCATGCCTTTTGGGTCATGACACAAGAGATATTCTGGCCATCCCTCTGCAAGTGCAGGAATGGCTTCTGTGACTCAAGAGTGCTTCAATGATGGGAAAATGCCTCACTCAGACCATGTCACTCAAGTGACTGTCATGCAGAAGCTTACACGTGCCAGAACAACTTCAAGCAGTCTATTGAAGAATATTTTAAAAGACACCAAGCCTTCAACAACATCCAGGTTATCCTCTGGGGCCAGGAGGTGGGGGGGAACAGTTTTGTTGCTGGGGAGATATAGGGAGGGGGGCTCTGTGTTTGTTGAGGGGAATAAAATGCTTTTCTGAAAACTGTCTGCAACAAGGGTGGTGGTGGGGGTGGGGGCTGAGGGTCTGTAGCTGGCCATCCAGGTGGCCTACAGGGGGGAGGTGGACCCATCCTGTTCAACATGTTCATCAGCGACTTGGACCAGGGGGTGAAAAGCACCCTGTTCAAATTTGCAGATAACACTAAGATGTGGGGGGATGTGGGCACACTAGAAGGGAGGAATAGGCTGCAATCGGACCTAGACAGGTTACAGGGGTCGGCAGATGAGAACAGGATGGGTTTCAACACTGACAAGTGCAAGGTGCTGCACCTGGGGAGGAAGAACCAGCAGCATCCCTACAAGCTGGGGAACTCCCTTCTTGTCAGTGCAGAGGCAGAAAAGGATCTTGGGGTCATTATTGATGACTAAATGAACATGGGCTGACAGTGTG